TCCTTTGCTACGAGCTTTCACCAATTCCGTGCGCACTTGCATATAATGATGGAAGTTTGAGGAAGACAACTAAGAGTGTCCTGATGACTATCTTGGAAAAAGAAATCAATATCCGTCCAAGACTTCCTCCATCAGTCCTACAGACCACTTATATCATTGATGGGATGGCATTAGTGCAAATGGCCAAGTCTGGTGGAGCAAGTACATTTGGTGATCTGTCACAAAAGTACTTCAGCATCTTTACAGCACCACTTTACCTTCACAGCTGCAACTGCACAGAGGTCCATATTGTTTTTGACCAATACTTGGAAGTTTCGATAAAAGCCGGAGAACGCTCAAAGAGAGGAGCATCAACTGCCCTTGAGGTACAGATAGGCGGCCCTTCCACTCCCGTACCCAAGCAATGGGGAAAGTACATCACCAACCAACAGAACAAGATCAATCTCTGTGACTTCTTAACTCACTCTTTGTGCAAGCTTGGGCAAGAGATGTTACCTTTCAACAAGAAAATGGTAATCGGAGGAGGATTCAAGGATGGAAAGAGGTGTGTGCAGATCACCAGAGGCTGTTGTAGAGAAATTACAGATCTGAAGTCAGACCACGAGGAGGCAGACACGCGGTTATTACTGCACGCCAAGTATGTTTCCCAAGCAGAACGGAGGGTTGTCATACAATCACCCGACACTGATGTGCTCGTCATTGGAGTTGCACATTTCAGACGTCTAAGCTGTGAGGAATTGTGGTTTAGGACGGGTGTCAAAGATAAGACACGTTTCATTCCAGTGCACGATCTCTACCAAGCATTGGGCTCAGACATCTGTAAAACACTTCCAGCCCTTCATGCTCTTACTGGCTGTGACTCCAACAGTGCTCTTGTTGGTGTTGGGAAAAAGAAGGCTTTTGAAATGCTGAAACAAAGCAATGCTCACCAGGAAAGCCTAAGTCTACTAGGACAAGACCCAATACTTGACGAGACAACTGCTGGAAAGTGCGAGGCATTTATCTGTGACCTAYACCCWTGTTCGAAAAAGGCTCCAAGCACTGCAGATGAGAGGAGATATTTAATTTTCTGCCAGAAAAAGCAAAAGAACGAGCAGCTTCCCCCGACCTCAGACAGTTTGCAACAACACATACAGCGTGCAAACTATCAGGCATGTGTCTGGAGACGCAGTCTAACTGCTATGCAGAGTCTCCCTCAGCCAGAGGGTCATGGGTGGAAAATGGAAGATGGCGTCCTACAACCAGTTTTAATGACAAAGGAGCCTGCACCAAAATGTCTGCTGGCACTAACCACCTGTCACTGCAAAAAATCAGAATGTCTCACCAATTGTTCTTGCAACAACACTGGTCTTGCTTGCACAGAGGCCTGCGATTGCATGGCAGATGAGTCRGCATGCAAAAATCCTAATGGTCTATTTTGCCAATATAGCAGCGACTCAGATGAAAGTGATTCAGATAAAAGTGACTCAGATGAAAGTGATTCAGATGATAGTGACTCAGAAGAAAGTGATTCAGATGATAGTGACTCAGATGAAAGTGCCTCAGATGAATCTGATTGAACCTCAACAATCTGTACTTTGAATGTGTTTGTAATATTTCAATGGATTTAATGTTTCAGACTAACTTCACGTGATCTTCAGCCACGTGATCGTTATTAATATAGTGGATATAAATTTTACAACTTCATGTCTTTGAGGACTAACTTGAAAGACTGTTTTGGTCAAAGTTTACTAAGAAATAGAGGAGAAAGCGCCAACCAWTCAATTAGCCTCGTTTTCATGTTGGCACTATTACTCTCATAAAAGCCAAGCCGTGGCACCGTTTTACATTAAAAGGGGTATTTTCAGTATCTGAAATGATGTTTATTAGCTAAGAGAGTCAGACACAGTAAAAAAACCCTGTTGAAATTAAACYGTAACTTTAATAATGCTTAAAAACTTGAAAATTCTCTATTTCCTTGCCAAATTTTGTCTCAAGACAGGTCACGTGTTTGGTCACGTGACATCCCCTACCACAAATAGTGTCTTTCATGACTCTACTTCATCGTTGCTTTACTTTATTTCCTATTTTGAACAATTTTTGCAATTAAAAAGAGAAGGCAAAGCTGATTATATGACCAGCCTCGATTTCATGCTGATATCCGATATTGCATGASAAAAACACCCCCTAATTCGGAACCTATACCACATTTCAACATTAAAAACTGCTCTGGGTTATTCAAGAGGTCTTTTGCTATTAAAATCCGGTGTCAAACCTTTTCTAACYTGTGAGTTGAACGAAACCCCTATTTTCCGGACTCTGCTACTGGACTAATTGGTGAAATGTTCGTGTTTGACGATTTTTGTTGTTGTAACAGTAGCTTTTCCATTAATAAATTATGCGTGTAAAAACTTCACATCTAGGTACACTTCTTATTTGGGAATCATGATGAATGTTACTTTAGTACTTCAATATATAAACATAATTAGTTTACATGTCGAACATTGATATCTGATTCTAAAATGAATATATCTATTTAATTTTTGGATGCCTGCAATTCCGTACGGAATTGACAAGCCCATCTGCGGTGTCCTCAATAAAATCTCCTAATGAAGAAAGCAAGGTCGTCATTGTTGCCATCAAATCAAACACAATTAGAAGGGAATCCCACAAACTGGCAAAGCTGCAGACTACAGTGCATATCAAGCGAAAACTTCTCCAGCTTTTTCCCGGAAGTGGCATACCACAGGAGTTCTTTGGCTTACTATAAAAGATGTTGCAAATCTCATGTGATCCTCTCTTCGCCTTCTGGAAGTTCTGCCCCTTGGCCACAGTGGCAATTTGAAAAAGACCTGAGCTTTTTTCCCATCTTTCAAAACCTTGCAAGAGAGAGGCATATGAGGCTGATAATTCGACTGCAAGGTACACCTGACGTAAACTTTGAAAGTCACATGGTACCTTACTTCCAGGGCTTGTAAATTTGCACTGCCAACATGGTAATTATAGTGAATTAAAATACTGGGCTTTATTCTTTATTGTATTTTACTTTTTCTGACAGTTGGCTTTAAAGAGCACAGAAATGGTTTTTTTCTTAAGCGCTTGGAACTTGCGATTCCAACAACAGGAGCCTCTCAAACTAGGAGAAAAGGGAGGGGCAGGGTGCAGAACTCTTTTCCCTCTAAAAGAAAGCAGTACTACATCTTTAGTGTAGCTTTGCTGGATCGAGATGTCAGCGCAGTACCAAGAGGAAATAGCAGAACAGTTCTCATTGGTGCTGGCCTTTTAAAATGACTGATCTAACAAGGTAAGTTAAACAGCTGAACATTATTTTACTCAATTTATAAGTGAATCATGTATTACCCATGTTCTTACTACCGTTGGCTTTTATACGGTTTTCTCCAACTATCGATACCATCCAGGCTCTACTACAAAAGCTGAAGATATCCAGCAGCACTCTCTAACCATAAAAGATAGTTTGCCTTGGTTTGAGTTGACCCTCACAAAATCTATGCTCGGAAACATTATCAGTGATATCTGGAAAGGGAGTGTGAACCGTTGTACCAAAGGCTCTTGACTGCAAACAAAGAGTCTACGGTAGCTTAGCCAGGGAAGTAGAGCTCAATCATCAAGTTCCAGTTGGCTTGACGAGGTTGAATAGCAAGGAGTCCCATGGGTGTTCGGTAAATATTAAAGATCTAGCTAATGGTATAAATGCTGACCGTATTATGAATACCCAGAACTGCTGGTGGAAAATTTACGATTATGGGAATCCTGTCCCTCCAAAGGTCCATCATGACGTTCGAGAAGTTCAAAAGGAAGACTCCACTCTGGAAAGAAGAATGTGGTGGACAGACTGCTATCTATCAGGAAGAGAAGAAACATGGGTTGCTTATCGAGCTCTCTGAGTAACTCCCTTAAAAAGAAATGAAACAGCGAAGATGCAAAGAGGCAACGCAAAACGAAGACTTGTTTCGAGAATTCCAAAATATGGTAAGGTGGTTGGCCACCGCACCAGCAGCAGACAAGGCAGCAGGTCAGGCAGCGGGCCAAGAAGGACAAGAAGCAGACCGAGTAGAAGATCAAGCACCCCGTGCCCAACGACAGCCATTCAGCAGAATTGTCTGTGTGCTGCCATCTCCACACTCATCAGCATTACCAAGAGGTGTATTACGAATTGCCTTGAGGTCTCAGAACCTGATAAGACAAGTCCGTTTTCGAGTGGTAACGTTTCAGGCCGACATAAGGTCTGAGATATTTACTACATTTCAAGCTTTCAGCCACATGGAAAATATGCATAGAATATAGGTACTGAATATCAGCGCGTAAATACGAATTTTATCCTCTAGTCATAAAAATAAACATTTAATGTTGTGTTTATTATATGAAAAATGTTACAGATGTTAATATTCATAATGATAATAGTACAAAAGGAAAAATCAAATACTGTGATGGCCGAAAGAAGCAGTGTGTACAGTGCAAGAAAGCTGGCCGTAAAACCCTTAAGGGATATCCTGTTGAATCACAGTCAAAATATCAACAGTAAGTCGTTCCTTTAAGCAATGAGCACTGCTTTCGAGATTACCACTTGGCCATTTAATTTGGGCATTCTGTTAGATTTCTGGATGTATATAGATATATATAGATTATTAGATAATTTCAAAAACTTGTCTATATCTTCTTATGTGAAGATATAGAAATATAGATAAGTTATAGGGCTTGGGAACGAGGTTATTCCGGGCGAAAGCCCTTGGAATTAAATTCGGAAAAATTAATTTCCGACCTCGCTGGTTCGTTTCCCAGCGAGGTCCGAAATTAACGTTTCTGAATTTAATTCCAAGGGCTTTCGCCCGGAATAACCTTGTTCCCAAGTACTATAACTTATCTATATTTCTATATTTTCATGTATTTCTTAAGTGCTATGCAGTCCACATATTCTTATCTCTATATCTTCTCATATAGTATTTATTGACTTTTATATAGATTTTTGATGAAGTAATTAATTCAAAGGCGACCTGTAATGGCGGGAAATTCATTTTTTTAATGAACTCAATTATGCAAKCTTTTTTTGGACATCATATTATCAATAACATTAACACCTCGAAACATTTAACCAATACTTCAACATTTCATCAGTCTATTTATGTTTTGAAATGGACTGAATAATTATGGTTAGCGTCCTGGGAACAATAAGGCTTTTAAACAAAAGTACCCAAATATTAAGATGGGCCAAAGGTACTTTGAATCATGCAAACCCTTTTTTTGTTGTCCCAGCAAGATTGAATTTGTTCGATACTTTTGAACAAATTTGGTTGCCCCTTAAGGTGGCCTGGAAAGCCCATTTGGTCAATTTTATTTATTTTTTATCTTTTACATCCATTCAATTTATACTTAGATTTTATAATTATACTTACATTATAGACATTTGTTTTTTCTAGGTTCTGGTTAAAAAATCCCCATTCCTCATGTTATTGACATTTTCCCCGGTAGTCGGAGGCACATTCACTGTTAAAACCCCCGCTATTGTGGCCCCGTTATCTAGTATAATTATTGTTCTTCTCAAAATCCAATTGTTTTCTTTCTAGCTTGTTTATCATAGAAACAAAGCCAATAATGAATGAAATAAATAATGTCTGATTTTCCTCTATGCATTCTTTGGGATAATGCAGACTGAAAACTATGGATTTCTATAAGATCAGTAATTATTTCTATTTAGTAAACTGCTATGCCAATGGTGTCCTATAAGACAGTTTATGTACGGCACTAACCGAACACACAAAACCAGGCAGGAAAATCGAAAATCCTTGCAGYGAGCTCAGGCGTGCCGCCCTACGTTTCTGACATGCACTCATACGCCTAAACTTATTTTTGAACCTCTAGGAAGATTGTTATTCCAGTTTCTGCTTTCGACTCCAAAACAAAGTTGCTTGAGAAGACTAGGAGCGCCTTTGGTGGTGGCAATTTTAATTTAAACGACGTTTCATCAAGCGACCTTGACAGCTACCACTCTTATTTCAAGGATAAGTATTATTGTGAAGAGCCTATAAGGGAATTTCAGCCAGTTGAACTAATTGGTTTTCAGACACAAAACTACTGGTGCTTCTCGAGGGAGGTGAGTCATAAGTTCGATGAAAAATCAATTCCAAACCAAGCATTCATGTTTAAAGAGTATGAGCTCACGTTCATTACAGTTGTTCTTGAGGCATTTTTCGAGATGACGTCATTATCTTCTCATGGTTTGATAGGCAAAATATTAAGAAAACAAGTGATGAAATCTCGATGTAATAAGTTTTTCGCCTCTTTAAACAACGTTTCAAAGCAAACTCGACACTCAAACTCGAATTCAAATTCAGAATCATTAACTGGATTTTCCGACTCACGATAGGAACACGATCTGGTTTGACTGTAATTTGAAGCTTTAGTACATCGGAAGTCATTAGACACCAAAGAGGCGATTTAGTCAGTCAACAGTCAACAATTTTTTTTCTGGTGCACCTCAAAAATTGGATGTATAGAGCATCTCCCATGGTTTGTGAATAAAATTTACGGTAATCGGTATAGAATCTAGTAAGGTGACTGCCTATTTTTCAGGGAAAAAATTTTAAACTTTTTTCAAAACTTCGACTTTTCGAATTGAAATTCAATGCTGATTCCAAATCTGAAAAATATTTTTTTATTAAGGAAATATAAAATTTTGAAATTTTTATGTTTTCATCGTCAAGAGTTTTAACTTCGCAATTATACTAATTTTCATTCCTTTACACCTGATGGGGCTTTATAGGTTTATACAAGCTTCAGAAGACTTTGGGGTGAATGAAATGTCGTTCAAGTTGGCTACAGCATTTGTTATTGCCCA